AGAAACATCACTTCGTGGCTATCAAATTCGTTATCATCAGCCCATTTTTAAGCAGTGTTTAAAGCTTCTACTGCCTCTGAATTACCAACTTTTCTGGAGGCGAGAACTTCAACACTACTGGCGCTCGCACAATCTCATCAGTTAACACTTAATAATATCTTTGTAACTCATTTTCGGCACCACCAGCAGCCCATTCTTAAGCTTCTGCCTCACTTATTTGAGAATCATTGTGTCCTCTCAAACTATTAAAAAGATGGGCTAAAGGAACATCATCTTCTGGTTCGTCATATCAGTGAGAAATCCAGGGTGCAAATTCTTTCATAATTTGTTAATTAGCGATGCCTTAACATTGACTCAGCAATTAGCCAGAAGAAAAACCGTGTCCTTTAAAGTTTTCGATTTTAATGTGTCCATGAGGTTCTCAGAACATAATGCAAGACAGTTAACCAAAAGGGATTTTCGGTTATTTAACTTAATATTTTGTATAACGTTCTGATCCATCGGTTGTATACACGCTGTGGTGTTAGGTGGCAGGAATATTGCAAAAATGTTACCGTCTTCGTAGGCAAATTCATCTGCTGATGGATGCCCAGGACAATTATCCAACAACAGTGCCTGAGGAGGCAAATTAACAGACAAAAGATGGCGACGGACCGCGGGAACGAATTCCGTTTTAAACCACTCAAGAAACAAGTCTTTCGTAACACAAGCATTTTTTTTGTGCACGATAACAAACAGGAAAGACGTGTTGATTTAAATTTCCGCCAGTATAAACCAGATTCGTCAGCATTGTAAACCTGTGCCGCTGTTAAATTTTTGTCTCTAATATTTTGCTGTAACTCTAGTTGGAATGGTCCGATAGTGGCTTCATCATTTGACAGTTTTTCACCGACCATTTTTAAAAGTCTTATTCCGTGGCGTTTTTTAAAATTTGTCTAACCATCCCCGGCTTGCATTGAACCCGATATTTGAGTTTTTAATCTGGCGATGAAAAATACGAGCTTTCTCCAAAATCATATCACCACTTACAGGAGCATGCAATCGCCTTTGTTGCAAAAACCACGTAAACAAGGCATCTTCTAAAACAGTATTTTCCGATTTCTGTTTGTTGTACACCGGGACCACGTTCTGTAAGACTAACAAACTTTAAGATTTTGTCTTTGTTTTTCTTTATGTTGCCTACGGTTTAACCGACTCGCCCGCGAAACCCATTGCCCGGCCGGATTACAGCGATCGCACCGAACAAGCGGGAGTCCGGATTACCGAGGCCCTAATATATTCCCATTGGAAAAACATCAAAATTGGCCTGTGGAGTTGGATATCTCCATCATGAGAAATAGGAACTACAGGTACTTGAGCTTAGTGACCTTATAAATGAAGATCTTTGACTTCCATCGTAAAGTCTTCATGTTCATCAATGAAAATGTTGTCAATTCACGTATTAGAGGTGGAAGTAATGCAGATTGCTTACGATATTGTATTTTTCAATTATACTACACTAGTAAAACCTGTCGAAAATTCAACTTTGACACTGCATTCGAAAAGTTGTGTTAAAATGACCTCTTATATTTATTTTATAGTCTTACAAAATATTTCAAATTGCCTATTGAGTAGCTTCACAAATAGCTTAAAATGAATTTCATTAGTTCCAAATTCCATTGTCTAATATGATTCTACTATAATTCGAAATCTATGAAGGAACAAATAACATTAAAATGAATATCAATTATAATAAGCAATAAACCGTGAAATGAAAATATAATGAAACGAATATAAAAGATACAAAATGAAAATGACCTCAGAGTAAAAAGGAATAAAAATAAGCAAAAAATAAATTTAAAAAGATTTCAAACCAAGTTACTTTACGACGTTTCGATTGTTAGTAACCACAATCGTCTTCAGGTGATGACTGGGCTATTCCTCTGAGAGATGACTATTCATACATAATTCGACTGCTTTCACTTAACCCCTCTTTTCTCTCTCTGCTTACCGGTTTTGCTGGAGTTGACCGTTTGGCGAGAGTTGACCGCCAATCATTCGTTATTCAATTACATGAAACACTTATTGCTTCTTCAGCACCAATCAGGAACATTACAAGATGGAGTACTCAATTTATTCATGACATAACGACTTTATGTCACAAACGAGTTGAATCTACTCATGTTATCGATGAAAGTACGTAATGACATTCATTCGCTTATTTGATTCAATCCCAGCCATAGGAATCTTGAAAGCGGTATATTTTTGGGAAAGAAAGGTATAAGCTTTTTACTTTTCTATCTTTATAAAAGAAAAAGTAATCTCCCAAAGAAAGGAAGTAAGCAATTAATTCTGAAATGAACTATTTACAAAGATGTGTAGGTCATGCAAAGAAGTAACATTTAGACACATACTAGAAGAAAAATCTCTCTTGAAACAACTACTTTCACATAAACATTAAATTACACGAAAGAAAGAATACTTTCGAAACAACTACTTTTATATGAACATTGAATTATACAAAAAAACACTTTTTCTTTTGGGATAGAAGTAGAAAGCCAAAACGTCTCTTCTCCAAAAATGAATCTACGACAAATATACCTCTTTCAATAAAAATATTACTTTGATCTGCTGTGCTCTTAATCCCCAACATTGAGTACTCACATTACTACAGTCAAATTTGAAAAATTTTGCTGCCGTTTTTTTACTCTTCTGCAGAAACTTGAACGGTAAATATTATTTTTCAATTCAGTTATACAAATAGAAATATTTATTTCACGTAAACAATTAGACATGTATACATTCGTTCAGATAGTGATATGGATCGTATAAGATAAATAAAGTAAAATAGTGTTAAATACGCTTCACATGATGAACATACAAGTAACAAGGTACATAACATAAAGACAAGAAGTATGAACATGTTAAAACCAACTACTCACATGCACATGTAACTACATGATCCAGATAATCATCTAAGGAGTAAAAACAGTTCTGTGTTGAAATTTACGGATCTTAGTTTTAAATGATGCACAAGACATATTTGTCATCTTTGAATTGTTGTGGCAAGACATTATACAATTTTATGTCCAGAAATCTATAGGAGTTCTGAATTTTTGTAAGTCTGAATAATGGAGGGCAGAGATCACTTTTTTTGCTTGTATTATAAGAGTGAGTGTAATAGTGAATTCTTTGACATATGTTTTTTTTACGTAAACAAGGCACTCCATAATGTAGCAACATTATAATGGCAGGATGCCTAATTTCCTGAACAGTATTTTACAGTGATCATCATATTTACTGGATGTTATTATTCGAATGACTTTTTTGCGCTATGAATATTTTGTGACCTGTGTGGCAGTGACCTGTATTTCCCCAGATTATCATCAGATTATCATCAGGCATACATCATTATGCTATGGAACATAGCAAAATATGCCATTCTTAGATGGTCTGTATCCACATTCAGCTTTAGTTGCCTGAGAGCATATGTAGCTTTCCAGTGGCGTAGCGTAGGTACAGGTTAAATTTTAAATGAAAAGTTTATTTGTTTTATAATCATGTTTATTAATATAAAAATTCTTACTTCAACCATTGATATTAACAGGTACATAGGTATTATTCAATCGACATGATTAAATAATAAGCGAATTGAATATAAAACGAAAATCAATTTTCAATTAGAACTAAGATGATACTATTAAGTAATATTTATATCTTTGTGAAAATGTTGGGTTTTCATTTTTAAAGGGATTTGTTTCTAATGCACATATTGGCAACAGCGCCTATATCAAGTTGAAATAATTTATACGTACCTAGATATTCTACTTTAAAAAAAGAAAATTATCTTCATAAATCAACAATTAAGGCAAAATATAAATCATAGTTCAATACCACCTCCACAAGCCACATAAACAACAGTTGTTTTGTTATTTATTTATATAGAGGGAGATGGGTTAGGTACACAAAATGTCATATGTCACAGAATGTCTCTGAACTCTGAACATAAGTAAACAGAACAGCACGCCTCTGAAATATGTCATCTTTGTTTGTTTCATACAGGTAACAGATTCACTGTCCTTTATTAGCATAACCAATGTTGCCAAATGGTGAAATAGAAACGAATCCCTTAACGAATGCATTATTTCATTCCTCTTTTTTAAGTATTTAAATAATTTTTTAGAGAAAAAGGTTGAAATGATAAGTTTAAAATGCGTTGTTTTAGAGCTCTTTCAATGAAAACCACTTGATTTTCGTCAGGAGGAACATTCCCCATTGTCAAAGCATCACGTATTTTTTTACAGAGACAAAATAAACAATATTGAACTCAATATATATGTAATAGAAGTCATTCTCGCTGATTATAAGTCATAAACAATGCAAGCACAAAATAAAATACGAGAAATCTCCGCAAGTCAGTATAGACGGTGTTACCATTCGCTACAAAATATCATTCAAAGAAAGGGATTCCTCGAATTCGTCACAGAACAAGTAATGAAAAATTCGGTGCTCTTTTCAATCGGTCCGAATTTATAGTTGCGACAAAATATGAAATGGTTCAAATATTTACAAAATATGTATATTTTATTATTTACTGTGAAATTTTGCCGCCCCTAAAAAGTGCCGCTCGGGGCGGGCCGCCCCGTATTACGCTGCGCCACTGTAGCTTTCACTTGGGTTGCACTCCTATTTTAAAGTGGTGCAGGTGCATCCCATTCTGAAACTGTTATTTTCTTGATGAGACGAGCTAATCCCCATCACTGAGATAGAAGCAAATATCAAGTTTAGAATCAAACTTGTTTCTACCATTTTTGATGATGTCATGCACCGATACTAGTTTATTCCCATTACTAGCGGATGTATATGCAGGGAGAGTAATTTTATTTGATAAATCATGAGTATATATTTTTTATGTGAAAATCTCTTCTGTAAGCTATTTAGTATTTGAGATATTCTCAAGTAGTATAATTAGGTGGAATATAACTTTTGGGAATTAATTTTTGTTAATAATTTTTTTTCAGATGATCTACCTCCTCCACCCCCACCTATAGATATGTCTACAGGTCTTCCAGACTATACTATATGTACGGTAAACACTAACTTACCCCCTCCTCCTGAAGATTTGCTGCCTCCACCTTCACCTGTCAGTTCAAGTTACAGTGAACTGAGAAGAGCTATTCGACCAGTACAGGACTATTCTAATTACAGTGTAGGACCTCAGGTGAACATTACACATTTTTCTATTATTCACTGCCAGTGACATTGATTGTAAGAATTGAAAGAAACAGAATCTTGGTACAATTGATTTTCTAATAATAGTTATAATTATAACAAACTTGATATCAATATTTATGCTTATCTAATCATAATTTTAAATTTTCCATAAATAATATGGAAAATTTGTCCATGTAGATATCATTAATTTTTTCATTGTTTTTTGTTCTCGAAAACTTGATGGTTTTAGGTCATATTTGACTTGTACCAAGATTCCTTAGGATGGTAGCCAGCTTTGTTTTTTGATACCTGTAGAGTAGCATTAACTTTGCTTCTAGAACATCTACTTTTCGATTGCTGTCTTTAACAAAGGTGGTGCCTGTGTGCTTTTAGCTAGTGCTTTACATAAGTAGCACAATAATATTAGATTTCAAAATCTCAATATTTTTGTCAGTTATATTTTAATATATCAGAATATCTTGTACATAATGGACGAACACTTATTTATGTTAACAGTGAGAAAGATAATAACCAAAGTTAAAACAACTCTAAAAATGATCAATAAGTAGGAAAAATTATTCTTGGAGGAATATATTTCCTATTTTCAAAAAATCTGTAATATTTTTATTTTTTACTCGTTGATGGACCTGAAGTACTACTGACAAGAAACTGACACACATAAGCACTGGAACAAAATATTTTTTATTATACCAATACATAGGCGTAGTAAGTAAAATTTTATTCCAAAGGTACAAATGTCATCAAATAACTCCCGAAATGCTCAAAAACGTCAGACGGCGTTTCGAGAATAACTACTCATTTATGGTAGTTCATGGCGAACACTTTGAGGATCTACTGTGGATTAATGTAGTTTGGGATGATTGGATTTGAATTTATGCAAAGTTTTCCATTTTTCTTTTCAAAAGCTTTTATTCAACTTGCTCCTGGATAGTTAGTATGTATGTATGTCTGGAACAAATCTTGCAGCTGACTTTTGACCCACTTCTAGTTGTCCGATCAACTTGAACCGAGACTTGAACTTTGGTAGGTGTTCATCATTGCGTTGACAATGCATTATGGAAATTTTGTTGGAAAAAAACAATAAAATGGCAGGTCCAGGATGGTGGATAATATTTCAGCATGACTAAAACGAATTGAATAAATTGAATGAAAGGCTTTTAAATGAGATGAAAAGAAAAAGAAAAACTTGCCAAGAGTAAAAAGTAGGTATTTTTGCGCGGTAACATTTTGATTCTGTTACACATAGAATAACCTACGTCACACATAAAAAAAAATTTTTTTTTGGCGCATTTGTGTAAAACTTATTTTATCAATTTAATTAATTCTTTTTAGTCATACTGGAAACTTGTAAAACACCCATATGCCAATTCTGAATCGAATCAAACTACAGTTACAAATATCGTCCGCCGGAACAGTTTTTTCTCGCACTAGGGCGCCAAAATAAAAAGTAAGGTAGCGAAAACTGACATGGCCGAGTTCCTTATGAAATTCCTTTTCAAGGATGTCTCATACTTACTACATTCCCTATTCAAATTGTTTGGTAGATAGTAACTGAGGGATGGGGGAAGAGGTATGACAGTTGAGGTTATGATAGAAAGATGTCCTCCTTGGATTACAAATCGACGTGTTTTTGCATTATTTTCAGAAAACATGTGTCTTGAAGATATTCAATCTGTTTCGATATATAATTCCTTGTAGATGGTGTGCATGAGATAATATTGAAATGAAAGATAAACGTGCATTTATAGTGAATTCTTGATGGAATTTATTAGTTTGCTATCAGAAGTCAATAATTAACATTTATTGATTACAAATGAGAAAATTTACCTGATTTTTTTGTAGATTCACAAGAAGTGCATGAAAATTCTTACAGCTTTCTGAGAGCGGTGAATGTGTGAAATCGGTAATCGACATTAGATATTTAGATGTTCATTTTACAGGGACACTGTTTTCCTAATAAAAAAGTTGTAAAGAAGTGTAGTTCGATGCATACTTCTGACAAACATTACTCCCATAGGGAACATTTACTTTGCTTGTGATATTTAGGTTCTCTATCAAGTGAACACTTTTTTTTTTTGGTAGGATCATGTGCGTGGAAAGATGTCTTTCTATCCAATTTGACATACAACAAATCAATTAATACATTTTCAGACTAGTTGTGATACATTTACTTGGTATTTTTACATTTTTCTTCATGAGAAACTTTGTTGGTGTTTAGCTTTTCATAACTTGTTTTGTTGAACGTTATCGAAATATAATTTCACATTTCTTTGAAGGTGAACAAAATGTTTCTTGGTTTTATAAGAATGCCAACTTTTGAAAAAAAAACATGTTGGAACTTGACATGAAAATAATTAGGAAATTAGGCATTACAATACTCACATTGATGTGTGTTGTATCATATTTTCCAATATCTTATGTTAGAGAGGTGCTACATTAGTTGAAGTACAAATAGTTGTTTTTCTCATGCTGCAAATCACTAGAATAGAGAAGGTAAAAGTATCTATATAGCCTAATAGCATAACACCCATGTCTAAAGAAACTAAAATTCAAATTTAAAATAGTCATATTTTTAAATGGCTATAATATGTGAAATCTAATATTATTGTGCTATATTCAGAAAAGTTATGTATCTATCTAAATTTTGCTTTCGTTTGTTTACTAATCAGTATGGAGACAACGATTCATTGTATGGATTTTATCCCACTTCAGAGGTAAATATTTTTTTGGCTTTTTAATTTTTTTTTAAGCTTACATTTTTCTATTTATATAAAATTCTTATTTTAGTACTATTACCTTCAAAATCATAGCAGGTAATAAAATCAGTTTTTATGCTATGTGTTATTTTGTCTGAAAAATGAAGAAATTGGTTCTAATAGTTGTTCAAAAATAGCACTTTTCTGGTGGTAATTGGAGTAGTGAACTTTTCAAAAAAATTAAAAATTATTGTCTACCCTTAATTGTATGATTGTTGCAATTTTCATAGAAATATTAAATAAAAGTAAAATATTTTTTTAAATAGTTTTCATTTCAACTTCAGAATTCATTTCATTATCAAAATGTTATTTTTGAGATCGAAGGAAACTGCAATGGGCATCAAATCTACAATATTTTGAATAGTAAGTTAGCTTGCATACCTGTGTAATTAAATCATATGTGGATTGTGGTGAAGGTGTGAATTTTAATAATCATTGTTTTCTTTCATGAATGCTTGCAAAAACAAGGGAAATTTTTCAATATATGGTCAAATTGTGTTACTGAAAACTCAGAAAATAGATTCCACATCTAATCTATCCTCTTATTTTGATTCATACAAATGAGATTTCTATTTCACAGTAAATCACAATTCCTTTTATTCTCCTAATAATTCAATTTTGGTCCGAGAGTTCAGTTTTTAAAATTCAGATTTTTGATTGGATTGATAATTGCAGATTGTTTTGATCAATTTTTTTGTCAATTTCAGTTTTGCGTTTGTATTTAACAAAACATATTTCCTTATATAAATCATTACATTAAACTAGCCTGAGCATTTTTTAATTTATTTATTTTAGAGACTTGATTAAATTGAATAAGTCTTCAAGTAAATCCAGTTACGTTTGTGTTTAATACAAAGAAAACTCTTGGTATTTATCAAGCTTTCGAAAGTGTTTACTATCTTCTTTAGAACACTTTAATGAAATGAATAAAAACACTTTTGTCTAATTACCAGTAGTTGATTTTATTTATACGACCAGGTCCTGGTTTAACCCCATTATCAAGTGTAAAACTAAAATGTGAAATTTGAAAACACTGAAGGTTGTAGGGGTTGTTAAACTTATAAATTCAAGAGTGGAGACCTACATAAATCGAGTTGTTCGTTTAGGGGTATATATTTCTGGTTTTTAATTGATTTGTTAATTTCCATGGCTTCCAACAAATTCATTTTCTTCCCTTTATTACATATGTGTAAGATTTAGAGGTTATCTTTATTTACCTTTTGTTTTGATTCTTGAACATGTTCCAAACGTACGTGTTCACGGAGCCTTACGCCAAAATTTATACCAGTTTGGCCTGTATATACTGCAGAGCATTATTTATTCTAGAAGCTTTTTACTAACACCGTAGCTTAATCGATAGTAATGTAGAATAATGTAATGTAGTAAAATTAATCAGTGGTAGTAATTAAAAAGAAAATGTGGAAAATTTTTAATTATATACATGTATAGTGTTATTAACTTTCATTAGGTAAAGGGTCAGTGACTGTAGACGTTATATAAATTCATGTGCTTTATCAGCACATGTTAACACCAGCATGATCATCGAATGAATTACAATAAGATCCAAATTTTGGATGTCGGGAATAACTTGTATAGAAATGGTACGTATAAATGGTGAAGAAAATTCAATGAACAAACGCACTGATGTGAATAACCTCAGTCAAGTATACACATATTGAGTTGTTACAAAAGTTTTGTCCGTTTTAATGTGTTTTGCAGCTCCATATCTCAATAAATATTCATTCTATTGTGTTGTATGTACTGATCGATGGAGATATTTATACTCTATACATTGATGTTGTTCTTTTTTTTTTAGATTTTAATTTTTTGCCTTTTTCGAGCTTATTACTATATGTTGTTGTTGAGCGATTTTCTGTCAATTTATCTCTACGAATTCAAATTGAACCAAAGCGCTGCCGAAACAGCCCGAAAAATTAACTAAGCATTCGGCAATGATACTGTTAATGAACGCATTGTTCGAAGTTCATTTGCGAATTTTCATTACGAATATTTTAGCCTGGAAGATGAGCCCCGAAGTGGTCGACCTATAGTAATCCATGTGGAGACCTATTAGGAACGGTGCAAGGGATGGCGGAAGAACTGGGAGTCAGCTCCCAGACATTAGAAATGTCAAAAAGCTCAAAAAGTGAGTGCCCCACGATATGAAGGATTGACAGAAATTGTCACGTGTCTCGTTCAGCTCTTAGGTTTTGCGCAACCAAAACTATCCGTTTTTGTATCAGATTATGTGGTGAAAAGTGGATCCTCTACAATAACAGGAGATGTTCAGGACAGTGGTTGGACATCGATGAGCCAACCAGGCACTTCCCAAAGGTGAAAACCCACCGGTTTCTGTATAATGATCAGCGGCTGGTGTGATGCACTACAACTTTCTGCAACAGGGCCTATTGTGAGGAAATCGACGCAATGTACCGTAAATTGCGCCAACAGCAGCTAGCACTGGTCAGTAGAAGAGGTCCGATCCAGCTCGCAACTCAGTGTCCGAAAATTAAAAGAATTGAGCGCCGAAATTCGGCCTTACCCACCATCTATTCAAGCACTTCCATAATTTTCTCACCTGTTACATCTTCGCCAATCAGGGCCAAGCAAAAACTGTCTTCGTCGACTTCATCTAATCCCGAGCATGCAATTTTCATACTGACGGAATTAATTGACTTGTGTTATGTTGGCGAAAGTGCACTGATTCAAATGGCGCTCATTTCAATTAAATTGAATAAGTATTTACTAATATTATTACAGTTTGAAGTGGACTCATAAAAACAGACAACACTTTTGAAACAACGTAATTTTTATTAAATCATGAAAAAGTATCATTATATCGTCATTATCATTATTGTTTTTGTCACTGTCACCTTGTCAAATTCGTTTCATTTTAATTCAATTCAATTAATGTTTTTTTCTGTTAGTTTGTAACGAATTTTGTACAATTCTCACGTTAGTAAGTATTCGTTTTATTATACAATTATTATTTTGTATTGTATAATATCATATATTACAGTTGTCCTGAAGAAGACAGTAAGTTAACACTGTTGAAAGCTTGAGTTTTCTTTACATTGAGCCCAAACGTTACCGTCTGCAACCTATACTTTTTTATGCCATCATTACTTTTTTGCATACTTTGAATTAGAGATAAAAATGTTTAAAATATACCCCATCTATCAATTCTATTCATCATAGTTTTTCTTAAAATTATATTACAAACAAATTTTTCGTATCATTTTGATACCGAGACAATTGCATTCCAGTATTCACCCTGTGACGAAAACCTTACCCTTGAGTCTTGGCGATTCCTAAGCCATACAGGTCATTTCTGTGTTATTTATTAATCTGATAATGTTATCATTCAGTATTTTGAAGGTAAAAATATGCAAAACTTCTAAAACGTGCTTCCCTGCTTGGTACATCGAATTATGCATGTGAAGCTTCCTCTAAAATCACTCCGTCCATTGACGAAAACCGTATTTGGTAGTTTGGTAGTTTTCGAGTTTATCACGTTCAGAGAGACAGATGATTTCATTTTGTCACATGATGTCAACTTACAAAGATAAAAATTTTGATTCACGTCCACGTAAATTTTGATTCACGTCCACGTATTTTTCATTTAATAACTAAAAAACCATAAGGGTATGAATATTTTCATGCCAAATATTTCACACATTGAATTGCTGAAATTTCAGAGGTTTCATTCACATGGGTATTTTATTCTGTATACTGTAAAATACTTAGGGTATCAACTGGACTGCAATCTCACATTTGAAGAATATTTTCGATACATACATAAGAAAATTTCGAAAAAACTATATTTTTACTCTAGAATTTCAAAGCATCTGTCTTTAAACACAAAGATATTAGTCTATAAAACAATTATACAACCACACTTTGATTATTGAGCTTCGATTTTATACTCTTTCAATTTGAACAAACAGGCACAACTACAAAAACTACAAAATAGAGGAATGAGAATTATATTGAGAGGAAACCAATATACTCCCATAATTACAATGTCAACAACCCTAAATTGGCTTTCGGCATCCCAGAAACTTTTATACCAGACAATGATATTTGTGCATAAAATTGTTAGTGATTTAACTGGAACATATTTTAAAAAATCTATTTGTTTTAATTATGATATTCACAAATATTGCACAAGACATAATCTTGACATACATAGAACTAATACCAAAATCAGTATGAACTCAGTATATGTCAAAGGTTTTGATACATACAACAAATTGCCTCATTCAATTAAATCAGCTTCAACTTTGAAAATGTTCAAAACTGATCTTCTGCATCATATTTATAACAAATGTAACTGAAGGTATTACTAATAAGATCATAAGTCATGAGTTTTGGAATATTAATCAATTATTTGTTAGTTATAATTTTGTTTTTGTATGTTAGGAATGTATCCTACTTACCAAATAAATGTTATTATTCTCATAGGTATTGGCCACTATCTATGAGATCTTTCAATTTCCTTACCAATAGTTCACTTTTCAAATTTTCACCTATTTGTTTGGAACTGAAAAATATTACCTATCTTTTCAGTTGCTTTGAAAATGAAATAGTTCTGTGAACTGTACTGAGAATTGTCTTGTAACCTAAAACGGATAAGGTGAGGTAGGCCAAGTACATGTTATGTACAGCCGCTAATGCTGTTATGTATTATTTTTTCTCTGGATACCTCCGAATTCCTTGTCATCAATTCCTCAGTTGTTTATATCTTAACCTTGAAAATTATTAGCGTTATTAACAAAAAGGTTTGTAAAAAGTGACCAACGGACTTGTCCAGTTAAAACAGGCTTAGTAACGGACCATCAAAATGCTTGAACTTGCTTTCTCTTTTCACTGGGGTATGTACAGAAGGAAAACTTCCAACAATAATAATTTACCATTTTCTAAATTCAAAATTTATAATTGTTTTGGTCAAATCTGTGTTATTGTACAATTTTCACAAGTAGTATTTTTGTAATATTAACGCTGATTGCTGCTAATTGTTCCACTCATTTGAACAACAACCCATTGGTGTAAAAGTATTGTCTAGGATGTTTTAGAGATATTTTCAAATTGCAATAAATTCTAGGGTAAACACTAAAAGTTGCTAAAAGTGATAATAGTCGCTTGTATAGAATTAAAGTTCACTTGAACATTGAAAGTTTTCATGAAATCGTGAAAAACCCAAAAAATTTGTTATGAATTATAGGCATCTTCATCGTATGAATCCATCTATGAACCCATAAACCCCCGTCCGCCCAGTCAGATGTCTTCTAGATCAAATTATTCATTGTATGCTCCTTATGTGAGCGGAAATAGTAGTACTATGACGGGCCCCAGTCAGTCAGTGAGCAGGATTGGACAAAATAAAGAACAAGAAGTAGACAGTTTGACTGATCTCCTGGTGCAGGGAATGAGCAGAAGGGAGGACGATTCTGACCAGGACGATGTATACGGAACCTGTGTTAAGTGCGGGGAAAAGGTGAGAGTTTACTTTTTACTGTGATCTTAGTTCATGGAAAGCATTATCAAATTCATTAAAATATGAAATTAAAATTGGAAAATAAAGATTATCAATACCATTACAATACAATATATGAAAAAAATCAAAATTATGTAAAGAATATACACTCCAAAGAATCATAAAATTATTATGTATTTTCTTTATTTTAATTTTTTTTGGTCAACTGCTTTTGGCCAACAAGCCTGGTGTTCTGGGTAGGCAATGTTAATGACTCCTCCAGCCATTTGCAGTCCGTTAGCCATGTAGCGTTGCAGAATCATCCCAACTTCAACTAGATAAATTCTCTGGTGAAAAATATATGGTCGAGGTAGGGTTCAGACTCTCGACATTACGTTGGTGAGTCGGGCGCACTATCGCTGTGCCTATTCCCCGCAGTATTTTTTATTATTATTTATGATGTGAAAAATTACCTCTTAGGTTTCTTTTTAATTAGTATTGGCAGCATTATTTTCAACAATTTTTTTTTCTAAGCTCCCAGCAGTTGTATCAAGATGGAGAAGTAGGAGGCCAAAAACTTTCTTTCCTAAAAATTAACCTCTCCTAAAAATATACTCTTTCAATTTAATGTATTTTATTATATAAATTAATTCCATCATGAAAAATACATTTTTGACCAAATTTACTTTTGTGTTAGTTGATGTCATGATAGAAAAATGTCCCTTTTGAATTGAAGTTCGACCTATTTTTGGATTTTTTTTTCAACAATTTTGCCTTAAAGATATTCAATCTATTTACTTTTCGCCGCACACTGTATAATCTCATTCATTATTTTGATATTTTATGTTTTAGATTATTGGTGAAAATAGTGGCTGCACAGCTATGGATCAACTCTATCACACGAGATGTTTCACTTGTCATCATTGTGCTATAAATCTTCAAGGAAAACCTTTTTATGCCATTGGTGGTAAACCTCACTGTGAAGAAGACTACTTGGTGTGAAGAGAATTGTTTTTATAAAATTACCTTTACTGATAGTTTTATTTTTTCTTTCAGAATACATTAGAGAAATGTTGCGTTTGTCATAGTCCAATTTTACACAGAATTTTGAGGGCTACTGGGAAGCCATACCATCCTAAATGTTTCTGTTGTGTTGTTTGCGGGAAAAGTTTGGATGGCATTCCTTTCACTGTCGATGCTACTAATCGTGTGCACTGTATAGAAGACTTTCATAAGTAAGTTAGTTCGATCATTTAATATTTTACCATACTTCACTACTTATTTTCAGTAAATTTGCCCCAAAGTGTTGGGTTTGTAAGAAGCCTATAATGCCTCAACCAGGGGAAGAAGAAACTGTGAGAGTGGTAGCGATGGACCATAGCTTCCACATACAATGTTACAAATGCGAGGTAATCCAAGTGATGTATTTTCTTTGTACCATCTGAATTGACATAGAAGTAGGTTGTAAATTTGTGTGTCACACTGATTTTAGTACTAGTTTCTCGTCAGTTCTGGGTGGATCATCTCAAACAGAGTGACTCTTTGATTATGTCGAACAAACAAATGTCTTCTAACTAGTCGTATGGTCTGCCTGCAGTTGGTTCACACCTATTCAGACTTGACCAAATTAATCCCACTTCTCAACAAATTTTTATTTGGTGAGTGATTTTTCTGATCAGCTGGCAAGAACGGTCAAATGCTGAAAACCTAATCTGATCCATGGCGAAGCAGGTACAGAGTATGTGCTCTGCTACAAGGGCCCGATTTCCTTGTGAAGAATAACTCACTCAGAAGTTGACAGATCACGGTAAATTTTCCAAAATCCAATGAGGACCTGATCGTCAGTCAGTCTGCAACAACTAGGTCAAATGTGTGGCTTGGGAAGTGTGTTGCAGGGTGCTAACTGCACCCATCAGCCAGGAGACGCTCTTCGGATCCTCTCGGGGCATTTAGGCTAAAATGTGCAGCTCTGAAATCATACTTGTGAACCATTGTCTGGAATATCATCAGCAGCCACGATGGCATACTGAAGAATTTCCAGTAGATTGGTAGTGTTGTGGTTGTCGTATGTATGAACTGCAAGGTTCCCACCACAATCACCACAGCTACATTCTTCTCCTGATGCATATTCTACTTCTTCAGCTCTAGAATTTTGTCTAAGGAAGATTCATAAGATATCCTGTTATTGACGAGGCAATAAATTGTACCCTAGCTGCACCATCTAGCCTTCTAGGCTAGGCTAGGTCCACCCTCTTCTCTGTTCATCTCCTCTGTAGACTTGGGTTGCATTCTTTGGTTAATCCATGGTTCATGAAGGGCCACGTGAGTAACTAGGGAAAAAAAGTCCATCATGGCGGTGTCCCGCATTACGAGTGTTGCCTTTTATATTTTGGGATTAGAGAACAAAAGCAATTATTAATCTTCGAAAAAATCACTTTATTGTTTTTCAAAATATTCCCCATGAAGATTTTTGCCACTCTGATTGAGGTATCTCCAAAACATACATTCTGAATGCAGCAACCGCTTCGTCAGGTGCCGAAAATCGTTGACCTCTCAGTTTGTTTTTTACGTGTGGGAATAAAATCAGAATCAGAATATGATTTATTGTCGAAAGAATACAATTCTTGTTGACAAAGTCAGTTGTCGTACATGGATGTATGTTAAAATATAGTTAAAATAACAATTTGCTGGTTTATAATAAAATATTTCAAACAGATTAATGCAAATTCACTAGTTTATAACTGATGAATTTTCCGAATTGCAGATGTTATATCCGTTGGAGACATAATTAAAATGTATTTTAAACGAGGCAGTAAAAGTCACTTGAGTACATTTGTATTTGATAGGTTCACACTGTATTGATTCACACCACTTTAATCAAACAATTTCATCAAGTCTGTACTCGAACAGTTTTATTAGTCATGTTTCGGAATGCTCAGTAATGAAATTCGTGAACTATGACTTTTGGATAAGTAGTTTTATTAAACATTTTTATTTTTTAATTTGTTTGTTATGATGCTCACTGAAAGTAAATGATCTTTAGAACCACAAAAAATACTTCCAGATAACATTTATATTTTAGAATGATACATTGCATAACTTCATGTAATTCATCTATGTCACCTTTGATTATGAATGAAATAAGCTCAGTTTTTATTTATGACCAAAATTAGTGACTGTAAAAACTTATTTGATAAAAAGCCAATATTGTGACATTACTTGACACCGAGAGGGCGCTATCAACTTTTTTTCAAATAGGAAAGGGGTCTTTTGACGTTTCTTATGAAAGTTATTTTAATTCCCTATACAATGATCTTTACAGTTTTTTAATTTCGACAGCCCGTTACGGAATTATGTTTGAATTTGCGACTCAGTATAGTCACATTTGTATTGAATTTCATAAATTGAAAACTTTCATGAACTCCACATATGTGAAAAATTATTTACGCTATGAAAGTTTGTTAAAAATGTTGGTGAGAGTGTAGGTATTGCCAGTTTGTGAATAATAGGAAACATTGATTCATGCCACATATTGAATTGAACTGATTTGTTGTAATATTGATTACTTGAAAGAAGTAGTTTTTTTTTTGTATTTTTATATATGACTAATTACTTGTTCCTTTATGATTTAGTCTATCAAATTTCCATTTCTGTTGGAGAAATTTAATTAACTTTAAATTTGAAATATTTTAATATTCATTTATCGATTATATAAATTTAAAATCTTTCTGTTCATCATCATTCTGATAGCATCTGCTCATCTTTTTTTAATTTCTTTTTGGCATTTGAATATTATAATTTTCTATATGGATTCCACATACTGATATGAATAATAATATGATCGTTGTTGAATTTAGTCATTCAAATATTTTAAACAGAGACAGACAGAAATATTCTTCTGCAGTCATCAAAAGCGTTTAGTCTTCAAGTAAATCACCCTGTGATAACTTTACATTCTTTGAATTTTATTAGATTTAAGATAAGGCTGATCAGTTCTATATTTTCTATTATATTGAAATATTTTATACATTCCATTAATATTTAGTATTTTATAAAAAGTTATTTCCTAGAGCCAACCACCATTTTATATTTAGGTAGATGGCTTGTCAAGTTTTATATGTATGAATGATATGCAGTTGAGGGCTTATATTTATTTGAAATTGATCCTGCTTTATTTTTAAGGAAAATTTGCTTTTATGATTATGCTACTGTCTTTTTTCTGCAGATTTTGTACAAGTTTCTTCAATTAAATAAGCTACATTTTTGTGATTTATTTGAATTTGTGCCAATGAAATAATTATGGTTTAAATACAGATTTAAAATATTCTTGGTTTTTCAATACAGTTTATATCCCAAACAATTTTTCACAATATTTCATAATGAAATATTTCGATTCATAATGAAAAAAAAGTTAGATGTTGATTCTGAAGAGGAAAGAAATTTGCTAAAGCATAACAAGTAAATATGTAGTTATGATTATAATTCTCTTCATCGAATTGTTCACTATGAAGCTGTTATTTTCCAGATATAGTTATTTTCACAATATTTCATAATGAAATATTTCGATTCATAATGAAAAAAAAGTTAGATGTTGATTCTGAAGAGAAAAGAAATTTGCTAAAGCATAACAAGTAAATTTGTAGTTATGATTATAATTCTCTTCATCGAATTGTTCACTATGAAGCTGTTATTTTCCAGATATAGTTATTTAGACTGGTTTCCTGAATAATATTTTTTAAATCGAATATATGACAAATATTACAATAATGAATGGACCTACTAATATTTGAATATTTTTTAGTGTGTCCTCATATAGCAATAATCAATGTTTTTCCAAATTATAAATCTTAATGTGATAAGTACAACTTGAACCAAATTAATTTCATGTAAATACTTTACATCACTCTCTAGACGAGTGTTTCACAAATAAATAAACAAATTAGATTCATCAGAATGTCGTCCCCTTCTAGCGTTCTTCCCAGATTATTTCCTGGTTCTTACTATTCTTAGGAAACACAGACTATTTTTGGACTCTTCCTTTGAGACAGAGAAAAGTTCCAGACTGAAATTTAAGTATGCAGTTGAGGCCTGTGACATACCACCTTATCCTTGAGTCTTTGTTGGCCTTCTCAACGCGCCAATTTTGGGAAATTACCACTGTTTGACTATAAACACTATTATGTGTTATAACATCACTGATGCCCGTATTCACCGTATACCAGTAAGTGAAGCATAAGGGGCTAGCTCGCTTAACGCTTCAGTTTTGTATGTACCATATCCTCAATAGCCTTCAAGTTCGCTTAAATGTAAGCAGCCAAATTCGGTGGCTGTATATGTGAAGCCAAGCTTATGTAGACATCAGAACCTTACTTTTCATTCTTTAGTTTTGAAAATAATGTGTCGTTTTGCTGAAATGTTTCAGTAAACGGGCTTGTAAAATTGAAAATCAGTAGTTGCAGAATGATGGAACTGTTTTTTTTTTCTGTTTTTCCGTTAACCAGCTGTCGCACCCCTACGAACGACAACCCTCAGAAGCCGAAACTTGTGCGAGCTAAGGATTAACGAGGTCTTATCTTTTAACGTGTGATTCCTAACTAGAAGATGAAATCACTAGAAGTCAATAATGTTATCTTAGACATCATTGATTTTGGATTTCCACGAATAGTTTTTAGCAGGCCCAACTATTTCGAGGAGATGGATGATATGGTAAAAAATCATTCAATTGTTTTTACTTTTTTATTTTTTTTAAACAAAACACAAGCACTACAGGAAAATCCTTGAGGGGCTCTAAGAGCGGTGTCTGTGCGAAAGTAGTGATTCGCATTGGATTTGAATCACCGGAAATTTAATCCATTTGGAAAAAAAATTTTCCTTAGCACTAGTTTTACCAACGAAACAGCTATCAGTTAGGAGGAGCACGCTCCATCGATTGCACCATGAAATACAATACCTCATTTGTGACCATGCCAAACACAAAACGAGTTCTTGAATTCAAGGATGATTACACCGATTCATTTGATGGATTCATTTACTGGTTTATTTGAAACGTTAGCGCGTTTTTATTGGTTGAAGCAAAACATCAGGATTGTTTGTTAAATTTGAGAGCCCGCCTACAGCAACCAACATGGAAACGAAAAAAGTGTGTATACAAATTTGAACACATCGTCTTTGAACAGATTATGAAAGCAGGTTTGTTTGGACTATTAATCATTCACTGGTTTCGGAGACATTGCATAGCACTTGTTCCGGATATACAGCATAATCAAAACACGGTAGCTACTCCTTTTTCCTACATGTTCAATCAAGTTTTAACATACAGTTTTGGCCTGGAACATCTGTTATGTAATGTCATAATTTGGATATCATGTAATATTCTATGTCACAATCTGTCGGATTTCATGTTTCATGTCAGATGTCATTTCTTATCGTTCTTTCATGATCTATGAAATAAAATCAATAAATTACAAGTG